CCCAGCCCGACTGGAACCAGCAGCACTGGACGCAGCAGCACCACTGGACCCAGCAGCAGTGGACGCAGCAGCACCACTGGACCCAGCAGCACTGGACCCAGTGCCTGATGACAGATGTGCTGGCTAGGAGAGAGCACAGAAAATCAACACCAGAGGAAACAGCAAACAATCAATCAATAAGTAAATAATGAGTCTTACCTTGTGGAACCCGCAGGTGCACTGAAGGCTTCTCCCAAACAGATCCTTCGTGTTGCTCTGCAGGGGGCAAGCATCGATCCTCTCCAAGGCTTTCTTCCATTTTTTGGCCCCTGGCCGTTTGCCAGTGGAAAAGTGGTAGAGGCCCTGGGCATATTTGGCACAGATGTCCCTCCAGTAACTCTCTGGCTTTCCTGTCTTCGTCATCTGCATCCATTGAATATAAAAGTGGTTAGTGTCAAACTACACGTGAATAGTTAGCCATGTGCAGCAGAGTAGATATCAAACCAAAGTCACTAAACATGAATAAATGACCATGTTAAGTAGCCATGTGTAGCTAGTGTAGCTAGTGTAGTGAATACACTACAGTAAGTAGCTATGTATTGGAGATATTGATTCTGGGGCAGATCAACTGTTGGCTCTGCTCAGACACATGACAAAGAAATAAACACTGTGGCACACATCAAGGGCAAAATCTGAGCTCATATTGTATATTGTTCATCATTTTCCTGTTGTGCACCTTTTTGTGAAGCTCTTTTGTCAACAACAGTTGTTAGTAATGTGCTATATAAATACATTTGTTTTGATTTGATGACCAGGCTCTATTAAAGAAAAAATATTATTCCTCTGACCAGAAATAATAATAGTCATGTATAGTGTGGAATCTATATGTGTTGGACTTTGGAGCTCTGTAATTACTGTATTACTGCTAAACATAATTATCTGAAGGTATTTGTTCTAACCCACATTGCTACTAGTCATTAATGCGTCAATAATATCTAAGTGATGACGTCTCTGTTCTCATCCACATTGACACACATCATATTCAAAGTTCTGTCTGCCTTTGTTCATCTGGGGTTACAGTAATAAGAATAATATCTGGGGTTACAGTAATAAGAATAATAACTGGGGTTACAGTAATAAGAATAATATCTGGGGTTACAGTAATAAGAATAATATCGGGGTTACAGTAATAAGAATAATATCTGGGGTTGCAGTAATAAGAATAATAACTGGGGTTACAGTAATAAGAATAATATCTGGGGTTACAGTAATAAGAATAATATCTGGGGTTACAGTAATAAGAATAATAACTGGGGTTACAGTAATAAGAATAATAACTGGGGTTACAGTAATAAGAATAATATCTGGGGACCAATAATTATCTAAGATAATAATAGTCATATTGCCACAAAACCAACTGTACTCAGCAATAGGAAACTTTGTTTTAAACTGAAGGGGACGGTGTTTGACCTGACCTGGTCTTCCCTACTTAAGTGCGTACGGGTTAGGTGTGTTTGTGGCTCCACGCACACACTGCAGCTGGTGTAGTGCACGTGAGACACCACTCGCAAGTCCGCGGCAAGACCAAGTGCGAGAGTTCACGGTGTGCAGGGTGCTGTTGGTCCGAGCCCTGTTCTGGATCAAAAGCAGCGTCAGACTTCTGTGTCGGGCGCTTCTCCCGCACTCGGACAGTGTACCTCCTGGTCACAGATAGAGAGCTTTTGAATCTGACTTTTTATATTTAGAGAATGAAGCCTGCGCATGGATCCATGTGATCCATACACTGTTGAAATATGCGCCCGCGTTGTTTGTGCCGGAGGCACAGGACGCTGGATTTTTATTGTGTGCAGGAAAGAGTTGTCTCTGCGCTGACACCCTAAAAGCACTGCGCAATTGCGCACGCGCACAACTTAGAGGGAACATTGGTTGGACTGCACTCGGATCGGGTCAGAACATCCTGAGACTGTTGCAGATTCTGCCTCGTTCTCATTATTGTCAGTGTGAAAAAGTTACGTGTTTTTCACATGTGAGTCTGTTGAATACAAACTACACAATGTGCCTCTTGTTGTGTTAACGCTGTCTTTGTGCGTGTGGGTTGCGATGTTGAGACTTTGCTGCTATGACGCTGGACTTCTGCATAATTGTTTTTCTAAAAGATTGTTGTTTGGACCGTTCTTTTACATAACTTTGGTCCGCCATGGTTCTTTTTCATAACTGTGGTCCTCCATGGTTCTTTTACATAACTGTGGTCGTTCGTGGTTCTTTTGTGTAACTCTGGTCCCCCATGGTTCCTTATTCCAACTTGTGAAGGCACAGTTGTCCGCGGCTCACAGCGGTGGCTGAGTGGATAGCACTCTCGCCTCTCAGCAAGAAGGTCCTGGGTTCGAATCCCGGTCGGACCAGGGCCTTTCTGAGTGGAGTTTGCATGTTCTCCCTGTGTCCGCGTAGGTTTCCTCCGGGTACTCCGGTTTCCCCTACCACTAAAAATATGTACAATAGGTTTGGCATGTGCCTCCTATACTGGCCACCCCGCTCCCATCTCTTTGTGGAGCGAGAGGACAGATGCCCAAAAATAACAATTGTAAACCGCTTTGAGACTCCGATGTGCAGTGAAAAGGCAGTATATAAATAAAGATTACTTACTTACTTACGGTGAAAGCAACAACATCAGTGGCTCATGTGAAACGGAAACGCGTTTCTTGCATCCTTTTTGTCCCTTATCCACCACTGTTTTTCAAGATGGCACATATTCACGGAGAGCACCCCTCTCTCATGGACATTTGTATGATAACTTGAGCACTATCCTCTCCTCCTTCCTACTTTATCCGTTTAGCATTATTAGAATTTTGACTGTAGTTTGTTCATTGCTATTTACCCGTTGTCCCATTGTCTGTTCCATGTTACGATGACGGGACATCTGGACCTGGCACCTCCATCTACACCTGCAGACTGCCCTGCCCGACCTGCCTGGGAGTTGTTCAGTCCTGCACTGGACCTGTCCACGTTCAACAGCCGCTGGTCCACGTTCTGTAGCTTAGGTCCTGGATCTATAGCCTGTCTGTCCGTGGGAGCGGATCCCTTTCTCAAACCATGGATCTCCCCGAGGTTTCTCACTTTTTCCCATTGTGTTTTTCTTATGACTAGAAGGACTGTGGTGATGATCCAGGACACTTTAACATTTTACAACATGTATGGAATTTTTTTATATACAGTATATATTTTTTAAATATGTGTTCTGTATTCTTTTTGTGTTTTAACTGTTGATTTTCTGATCTGTGTTGGTGTTTTCAATGGTTTTGTTAAGTCCTCTGAGATGACTTCTGTTGTGATTTAGGGCTATACAAGAATAAATTGTATTGATACATTACATTACATTACATTATCTACCCCTTTATTTTCCATTTCTGGGTCGGGGGGGGGGGGGGGGGGGGGGGTGGCAATCAGAGTTGCCACCCAAGTCTCTTAGCACCAGTCCCTCGCTGATCCTCCTGCAGGTGGTGGGTCTACGGGAAGATGGCTTCTCCGTCAGCAACGAGATGGCCTTGATCTTTCAGCGGGGGCTTCAGGCAATGTGGGGTTAAGTGTCTTGCCCAGGGACACAACGACAGCAAACATCAGTATTGTACATATTGTATTGTATTGTATTTATAAGTTCAATTCTAAACCTATGAATACAATAAAAAAAACATGATGGAGGTAAATATTCTTAAAAAGGTCACATTTGTTATTAGTTAACATGTTTTTGCATATGGAGCAGCTCATTAGTGTCCCCTACAGATGGGGTCAAATTTTGTAGTATTGGAGGGGTTCGAGGTCAATTTTGTCGTATAGGCATGAAATTTGGTACACATGTTCCTCAACTCAAGACATGAAATAAAAGTTATTATGGCCAAGCCCCCTGACAAACAGGAAGCCCATAAATTTCCCTTCAAAATGGAAAAATGAAAAATGATCCTTTTCACACATGTCGGTTGGAAAGCGACTCCTCCTCGGCCGTTTCACTGATTTGCCTCAAAATTGCTCCACATCATCTCAACACATGTACCGTCAAAATGACTTCAGGGAATTTTGATCAGTGAAACGTTGTTTGAGCAGCCGAGCGGCAAAATTTGATTTTTTTCCTGTTTGCACAAACAAAGTCTGATTTGCACAAAACTTGAATCCATTATTAAATTCCAGGGTTTAGGTCAGGTGAAAGTGAAAGTGGTGCGGGGAGTGCGCGCGGTGCGGGGAGTCGCGCGGTGTGGGGAGTCGGGCTGTGCAGCGAGGGCCGTTCGACGCCGCTTGCGGCTTTACTTTATTTCTTTCTTTCTTTTTTCTTCAGCGCCGTTTGAAATGTTTGCAATTTTGCACATACATCTGTTTTTCCCTCTTGATTCAAAAAGTCAATAGGGCCCAAGGCTTATTTTTTACCCTGTTGCCGTGGCGATTACAAACTCTCCCCATTCATTGGCTATGGTACTGTAAATGTACATCTCGCACAAACATCAAACCAGCCTCGGCCGTTTCACAGATTTGGCCGAAAATCACTCCACATCATCTAAACACATGTATCATCCAAATGACTTCAGGGAATTTTGATCAGTGAAACGTTGTTTGAGCAGCGGAGTGGCAAAATGTGACCTTTTTTCCCCATTTTGACGATAGAAACATAGCTCCCTTTTGCACAAACCAAGTCCGATGTGCAGCAAATTTGAATCGGTTGTTCAACTTTTGGGTTTGGGTACACTGAAAGTGTAAAACATTAAATTGCAGAATTAGCGCCCCCTACAGACTGAGTCAAGTTTTACATGGGTGAGAATGGCATTTACTAAGTCTGATTTGCGCTAAACTTGACTCGGTTGTTCAACTCCTGGGCCTAGGTCGCCTGAAAGTGTGATTGTCCCATTACCGCCCCCTACAAGCGGAGTAAAACTTTTACATAGGGGAGACAGCGCATATAGTTTTTCTGTTGTTTGATCTATATTTGACCCACTGAGCATGCACAAAAACTCACCATATTCTTTTATTATTATTTTTTCTGGCAACAAATGAAATATTTGGATGTCTTTGGTATAAAACTACAAAAATATTTGTAGGGGGCGCTATTATTCAAAGTAAATGGCCGATGTTTGCACATAAAAAGTCTGATTTGCTCAAAATTTGATTTGATAGTTCAACTCTCGAGCTTGGGTAAACTGAAAGCGCCCCCTACAGACTGAGTCCAGTGTTACATGGGGAGAATAAGGTTTAGTTTTTCAATAGAGACACACAATCATTGATCCTAGACATTCAAAATACACAGTGTCGCTCC